GGACATTTGAATCTAATGTAAGCATACTAAAAATTGTTAGAGAAATTTGAAAATTTTTTGATGATTCATTAGAGACCCAATTGAGGCACCATTTAAGAGCATTAAGAAGTCAATTTGTGTTTAAATATTTAAGTCAACCTAATAAATATTAAGTTTAAACACCATGGATAGAGCTCAAATCATTTACTAAAAAACTAGGCTTTAACCATTTAAGGAAGGGTAACATCTATGTATATGCCTCATTTAATTCTTTTTGTTTAACTTCTTCTTTTTTTTTTCCTTTTTTGTTACACAAATAGTAGAGTGTAATATAAATCCTTTTCCATAGCATTTGCCAAGAGAATGATTGTTAGACAACAAAGAGGTGCATTGACAACAGTGGTTCTCCTAATGACCCATTATTGTCATATAATTTGCCTTCTTTAAGGGTGCATTAAAGAGTGCAAGATCTGAACTCAACTACGAGAACTTTGTTATCTAGAATGGGAGTAGAGATGATGGAGTTTGTGGGGTAATGTATATGGATCATGAATATTTTAGTTAACGTCATTCTGTTTTTACCATCAATTAGGTGGTTTGGTAATTGAGATTTGTGCACTCTTAACTACAAATCTATAGTTCTTCAGACTCCACAAACCAAAAAAGAAAATAAATTGTACATTTGGTTCAACACATTTTTTAATATTTATCTGAATTAATCTATTAAAATATAATATAAATACAATTAATTCAATTAGTTATTGCATTTTGTATGTATGGTTACATTTTTAAGTTTAGTTACATTTTTAAATTTATTTACTTTTAATTTTAATAGTGATTTTTTTTAATAAATATGTTATATAATATGTTAAATTAGAGTATATATTGATCGGTATCGAACCAAAAAACACTCATTGCCGTTTTTTTTTTTTTACCACAAATTATGAGGAATTTTCCAAAACAAAATTATTTTAGAGGAATTAAATGAATAAACTCATAAAAGTATGATCTTTTTCGAAGAGAGAAAGGGTCCATCTGAGCTGACCATGGAGGGTGATTCATCCGTAGCGTACCTACTCCCAACCAACCTTTCCCCTGATTTCATCGTTTCCTTCATTTTTTTACTCTTTTCTATGTTTTAGCCGACACTCTCTTTCTCCATTACTGCTCTCTCCGAAGCTTCCAATCCCTCGCTCCTCCTTTAATGGGGATGCCTCCAGCCACCGAGGCTCCCAACAACTCTTCCTCCTCCTCTTCTTCTCCTCCGTCCGCCGCGTCTCCGTGCTGCTCTCTCATGTTCTGCAACTCGCCTGATAACCTTTAAAACACTCTTCCGACCGCCAGAACAAGAAAAAGATACTGCAATGGTGTACAAGAACAGAGCTTTTTCTCGATTTCCATCGCGTTTGTTACTGAGTGAATTGGTTTTGCTCGCTTCGATCTTTGCTCTGCCTCTAGTTCAATGCATCACTGATTTTTCTGATGGTATTTTGCTCTTTTTTTTTCCCCTGTAGTTTTGCTTTCTTGATCGATTGGGTTGGTTGATTGATGGGTTCTAAATTTTTTTCTTGACTTTTTCTGGCTTTGATGTGATTAGTTAACAAATGCACATTGACTTGGTTGCTTTTTTTTTCCTCGTTATTTTTCTCTTCAGCGAATCTAGGAAATTTGATCCTTGTGCTTGTTTCTGAGAAAATGCTGGAAAATAAGAGAGAAAAAAAAAATGAACTATCCCATATATTTTGATTGGCTATGCTATTATGTAACTGAAAATGTGAACTTTTCCTTCATCCAATTATATTTTTGGCTGTCTAACTTGAGATTCGTTCTCCTGTAATGGAATTTCAAGGGACAAAAATTTTCATTTTATTTTTTAAAAATTGAACTTTAGGATTTTTATGAAGTTGGATTAGTGAAGGGAGGAGGGAGGGGGTTAAATCAATCTGTATTTAATTGATTGACTTGGTTGTTTGATTTGTTTGTGGACAGTTCAAGCCCTTCAAGTTATGTATACTTCATTGAACAGCTCTTCACAGCTAACTAATTGGAAAAGTATTGGAGGCGATCCGTGTGGAGAATCATGGAAAGGGGTTACATGCCAGGGTTCAGCTGTTGTTTCCATGTATGAGAGCATCTATTACAAATGTAGCTTTTTGTTAATTTCACAGTTAATCGGTTTATGAATTGCTTATTTTGGTGACTGTTCTTTGTTGTAACAGTGATCTTTCTGGATTATGACTTACTGGGGACCATGGGGTAGTTCCTCTCAGGTCTTGTGTCATTAGAAACACTGTAAGATAGTATATTCTTTCTTCTTGATCATTTATTTCAGCCCAACCATTTTAAGCAACTGAAGTTATTATTTGTATATTGATTTCTTAATTTGTTTAATCTGTGTTTTGCAAGTGATCTGAGTGACAACAACATCCATGATACCATCCCATATCAATTACCTCCGAATCTTACAAGCCTGTAATGTTCACTAGTTCCTCCTTTGTTCCTATTGGAATTGGAAATGTAGTTTAATTTCTTGTGATGACAATTTCCATTCATTTATGGCACAGAATGAAAATTAGATATATATATATTTCATGGAAATGTAGTTTTTGATTCGTGGGGTGAAGGCAAGTATGAAGATGCCATCAAATTGTTTTCTTTTTATGAACCTACCAAATTGTTACAGGAAATACTTCAGCTGACAGTAGAGAAGCATAAATAGTGAAAGGTCTTTTCTTCTAAGAATGAAAAATATATATATATATATATCTTTTTTTTTTTAATGATATGATTTTGATTACTGATCAATGATCGTGAATTTGTAGAATCCTTTAATGTCTTCACCTCTTCCTCCTGAATCAGTTGCTCTCAACTATGGTTGTGATGCAAATCATGATATCCCTCTTACTACAATTACTAGACCCGCTAAGGTTAGTATATTTACCATAGTCCATCTTCATGCATGCTGCTTTCTTCTTGTTCTATGAAATTGAGTGGTGATTATGGTTTTCTGATTTAGAATGTTGAAATTATCTTAGGAATTGCAGAGGAAAGATAGGAAGATTGGCCATGAAAGTTGAATTTAACCAGCAGTAGGAGGTATATCAAGATGATTGAACTGACACATAGACTTTTACAATTTTCACCCATAAGTTTCTTTTGGGACATACAGCACAGGAAGTGAAGCAAAAAAGAGGCTTTAGCAAGAGGTAACTTGCATTTGATGTTATGTTTTGCTGATTACCCATCATATCCACTTTGTGGCGTGTTTCTGTTGCCTTTGATGGTCTATTAGCCTTTCATTCATGCCATGACAATCTAGAATTTTTGATTTTTTGTTCTGTAGATTGGCCACCATTTGCCCCTATCGCTCATAATGATATACTTATTTATCTAGAAAAGCTGACGTACATTGCCTTTTCATCACTCTTAGGTATGCAAGCTTTTTCATTTTTAATTTTCCATTTTAAGCCTTTCATTTGCAGTAGATTATATTTATTGACTATACATGATGTTATACATGATGTTACGGTTATCAATGTCTCTATTGATATATATTATGAATGGTAAATGTATATTTTTTCCTTATGTAGGTTTGGTTCTGTGCTTTTTTGGGAATGTCATAGCTGCTACTACAACATACATCAAAGGGAAACGATGGAAGCCAGGTGATGCCTATCCAATCCAAGAAGCATCATACTGGAGAATTGGATCTAGTCTTGCCATCATGGAGATAGTTCGCAACATCTTACAAGAACTAAAGATCAACCACCATAATTTTGAACGTTACACAATTGTCAGACGATCAGGAAGATGCTCATTTCTGTTCATGGTGAACAGAAGGGCAGACTTTTGACAGAGAACAGAGATCTTATCTTGAAAATTTTGGTCATTGTGTTCATTGGTGTTTACTTACTGGGACTAGCTGATACATGGAATGATATTTTGTATGCATATTTGTTGAACGGTTGTGAAAATCTTTGTGATCTGAACCTCCTTTTTGGAAATTAAGAAGGTAAAATCAAGGTATTGATAAAACAAAGAATGAGTCTTCATTTCCAAATTAGTTTGCTGCTAAGCATTTTCCAAATCAACTAGCGATCTTCTGATGAGTAAAAAAATATTAAGCTTGCAACCATCTAATTCTGCCACTCCTTTTAATTTACTTGGCCTAGTTAATTTGGTTAATTAGTGTACAACTTCAATTTTTTCTTCGAAAACCTAAAGGTACATTACCTTCAATCTTGATTTTTTTAATTAGTTCTCTCTAGAGCATATATAAAGACAACGAAAATATCAAAGTTTTCTTGTAAATACATGACCGTCCTAGTAAAAATGCATTCATTCTTTGCTAGATTTATTTATTTATGGGTGCTTGAAGTTCCAAGTACATATATAGAAGAACATATCTCCAAGTCATGATATATATTTGAATCATGGATGTTTTTCTTGCTAAAAATATCCATCAACCTCAACTACACTCATCAGGTTGCAATTCAGCAGATTTGCTCCTCTTACTGATTTGCTTTGGCCTACCCAATTTGGTTATTGTCAATGTCTAATTTCTTCAATTCCTTCCTCTAAATCTGCAGATAATAATTCCTTATGTTGTGTTCTCTTTGAGGTATTAAAGGAAATACAAAATACATAATTGAACTTGTAAATACAAATCATTAACATATCAATCTTTGGTTACAATTCACTTTTTCACCTCAAATGAAATTATCAGAATAAAAATAAGAAAAAGAAAAAGAAAATAATTAATAAATTATTTATATGTTACTCTTTTATTCATTTTTAATAGTTTTAATTTTTTTTTTTATCTTTTCAAATATAAATTTTTATCTAAATTTAACAATTTATATCAACAATTAAATTTTTTTCTTATATGAAGTTCTCATTAAGTATTTTTATATAATAAAAAAAATTTAATTATTTTTTATATAATATATTAAAATTTTCTCTAAAATTTATATTTAAAAAATCAAAAAAATACTCTAAACTACTAAAAATGATCTAAAGAGTAGTTAGTTACATTAAAAAAGCCATTATTCAATAGATGATAGATTTTGTTGATAAAAAATAGATTATAGATGTTCAAATTAAATATTTTCATTGTTTACATTGGCAGAGACATTATTCAAATATGTTTATTTTTTTATCCGTTATTCAAATACATTTATATTTTTAGTGATAATAAGAAAAAAAAATAAAGACACACCAAATATTATATATTAATGTTTCATCTAAAAAAATTATAAAATGTAATATATTAAGAAAAAAGTGCATATTAGTTTCAACCCTCATAAAAAATTAGAATTTTAACTTTAAAAACACTAATCTTTAATTTATATTTTTAAAAATTAACTATTAAATTTAATATTTTATTAATATAAATCATATATATTAATTTTC